AGCGTTAGAGTCAACACAGAGTCTAATGAGTTCGAGGAAAACGTCAGTGGGAAGCGGAAGAGGAAGAAGGCCCTCAGACGCCTTCTGTCTGAGGAAAGAGAGAACGTCATCGAGCGGAACATTAGTGAACAGAGAGTCGACATCAAGGCTAAGCATCTTACAAGAGGGTTGCAGGCGCAGTCTTTCTAAGAAGTCCTGAGAGTGACGAAGGTGGGCAGGGGAAAAAAGTGCCAAGGTAAGGTGTCAGGGTTTTAGCGAGCCAGGAAGCAAGAGGATAGCTGACAGAGCCTCGTGAAGTAATGATAGGACGAAGAGGAACACCAGGTTTATGAGTCTTAGGTAGACCATAGAAATAAGGAAGAGAATGTCGCTATAATGTTATTGTGTTATAAATAATTGGTTTAAAATATAAAAAAGTGTACGATGAAAACTTTTTCATCGAACTTGGTTTTCTGTAAACGGATTTCTCTGGCAAATTGAAATAGTTCTCAGATTCCATATTTCACAGTATCATCAAAACTCTGTATTAGCGTAACTAAACGAAATGAAACCTAACCTAACCAAACCTTAACCTAACCTAACCTTAACCTAACCTAACCTTCACCTTCACTTAACCTAACCTAACAATAGATACAAAGTAGATAATAGCACTAATTATATAGTTATTCCTAATCCATTCCCTTGAGCGGATCTCCTCCCCAAGGACAGGTTAACTACCAGGAATCTCAATCAAGTATCCCAGTTTGATTAATGTAGACAATGTCTGCACGTTGTTGCAACCCTTCTATCCCCGCCTGTTTACGAGGAGCACGATAGAGAAATTGAAATGACATGAAACTAGCTGCCCACAGATATAAATTGCTTAATTTCAATATCATTAGGGTTCACCTGAGCCCATTATGGTACATCTGCCACAAACCTCACACGGGATATGTAAGGGATCCTCAATAAACTAATTAGACTAACTAAAATTGTCCCTCACTTTATTACGGCCTCTTGGGGTCAAGACGATGTTATTTTGATAAATTATGAATAGACAGTTAATGTATATGTTAACAAACTCTGTAATTAGCTCATCATTGCTTTAACTCGCTTATAGCTATATGAATATTAGGGTTTAGTTTCCGAGCGCATTATGTGCGCCTCAAACCTTCAATCACTGCAATTCACAGGATAAATATAATAGACTGCATAAGAAATGAACTAAACCGAAAATTTGCTCGACTAGCAATTAGACGATTTCACTTTAGCAACAAAACGGAAGTAGCCAATGAAGCCTAGTTGATCCCAATAATCACGATCATAGCCTCAAGATTTGGGTAAAGCCTCATCTTTCTCTGCTGTGTGTCACTGATGCCATATTTGTTCTGTGGCGTCAATAACAAAGCATTAGGATATGCCTGTGTGCCCGCCAGATGCCTACAGGGAACAAACAAACACTCAGCTTCACTAGAGGAAGGATATTGAAGCCTCTGGCAGCCTGAGTGGCGCTACCAGCACATTGTTCTGAGAAATTTATTGACCTTTCTTGACAGTCAAATATCCTGTATTTTAGTTATTTCTTTTGTTACAGACGGAGAAGAATCTATAAAATGTTACATTGTCAATCAAGTGATGATAATTGGATTAAGAAACGGGGATTTCAGGCAGGAAACGTTGAAATTAAGCTTCAACTAACGTGTGAATGTTATACCGCCTTAGGTGTCCAGAAGCTGATATTTACCATAACTGCGTAATGAGTATTGTGACACGCGTAGCTGGCAACCTGAGGGTGGGGGTGAGGAGGAGGGGGGAATAGCACCACCGGGTGGCACTGCGTATCTCACAGCAGTCAGGCACAGTTGTGGCCTTGTGTGTGTGTGTGTGTGCCACTCTGCCCTCCCACCAGCCTGTCCACATTAGCCCCCACACGCCCACACTATATGACTCTGCCCACTCCTCACCAACACTCCCACAATACCTCCCGCCGCCACAAAATCACAAATATAACCACTCGCTATCATTCCAACGACCACACAGTTGATATTCAACACGAGAGAAAACGCGTGCAACGAAACCCGCCCCCAAAGGTTGGCCCCTTAGTAATGAGAAGTAGGCCCCGGCCCCCCTCAACCTCCCAAGGCTCTGTACACCTAGGTTGCCAGCTGATACACTCACATGTCCCTCACCTGCCTAAGACGGTGGCCATGCACACGAGGAGTGCAGGCAGGGGCCCCATGTCCACCTTCACGCTGGAACACAGGGCGAAAACTTGCGGCGTGTAGGAAGAGGCGCTGCGTCTGCCCGCGCCGGGACTCGCACTGGGGACAACCTGTTGCTGGCCACTGTTATGAACCTCTTGTGATTACTCTATTGGTCTTCGCTCGACTCTTGGGACAACGAGGGTCACCCTCGGGCTCTGATACTGCTGCTTGCCGCCCGTTGTGTGGTGTTGCGTGAGTTGCAGAGCTCACACTGCGCTGCAACTCTTCCAAACACTCCACAAAGCAATAAACTGACTGGCTTGCTCGGCTAGATCGGAAGTTCCACTTACTTAATCAAGAACGATTGTTGTATAAAAAACCTTTATTGGTTAACATTTTAACCTTCATATATTTCTGTATTATATACAATATTTCTAACATTTAATTATTTTCTAATAGAAAAGTATAACGTAAATATATTGTAAAAGAAAAGTTCAGACGAAGAGCGTACTGACTGATAATACATTTCAGATAACCAAATACATATTTATATATATATTTTTAACTGAACTCCATCATATGAAATAAACAGCCCATCCTCTGAAATAAAATAAAGAACTAACGCAATTACGGTTTGATTATGGGTCCAGGATGGACTGAAAAGTCGTCTTTCTCATAATGTGTGTGTGTTGGTCTTCTAAAAGGTAAAAAAGTAAATGCAATGCATCAATTTCATGTGTTTTATTATTTGCAATAAAGTGATATGCCATATGATGCAACGCAACTTTAAATCTATATTTCAACGACTTAAATTTTACACTCTAAGATATATTGATTTAGATTTTGAGTCTCTTTGTTTCCGCACACTCACACACTACCTTTCATGTACACTGAATCGCATACAAGATGAACCGCCAGAGATACTTCTAGCCTAATCGTATTGAAGTACCAGACTTACAACCTAAGTATCATAATGAACTGCCAGAGACAACAGCCTAGTCGAAGTGAACTGACAGAAATACTTGTAGGTAGTCATATTAACCTGCCAGAGATATAGCTTAAATGTTTTCCATTGATACCTTTTGATTGTGAGACATTTCTTCATACGTAATGCTTGGCTATAGGCCTTCATTTTAGCAGCCAATACAAAGGTTAATACTCAAGTGATATCAAAAGGTTAACATCGCAGCAATCGTAGCCATTCACCACGGCAACCGTAGCTATTGACTGCGGCAACTGTAGCCACTCACCGCGGCAACCATTGAGGACCAAGACCCACGTTAAAATAGAAACTATAACAATTTAGGATATAAAATAACGCTGAAGGTTTTGCGTGGATTTTTCGAATATTGTTTTGGCCTCCACGGGAAAATATAGACAAACGACGCCAATTCAACAATAAATTATGATAATGTTGGTTATACGTTTATTAAACGTGATCATACGTTCATAAACGTTGCTAACTTCATTAGACAGTACTGAAGTACGTTTGTAGCTTATTAATAGAGCAGAGTAAAGGTAAATTAGCTTACGAACAACACAAGAAACGGTAATTAAGCCCAGATGAATGAAGAGGTCTGTCTTAAAGGATGAGATAAACGAGCCTGGCGAGATGTGTGGTCAAGACATATTAAAAAAAAGAAATTGATATTAGGCTGTGTTAGGTTTGGTTAGGTATAAAAATCTATTGTGTCCTTCCTGGCAGACCAACTGTGCATCATCACTAGAGACGTTAGAAAGAATTTTTTCAGTGTCAGAGTAGTTAATAAGTGGAACGCCCTAGGAAGTGATGTGGTGGAGGCTGACTCCACACACAGTTTCAAATATAGGTATGACAGAGCCCAGTAGGCTCAGGAATCTGTACACCAGTTGATTGACGGTTGAGAGACGGGACCAAAGAGACAAAGTTCAACCCCCTCAAGCACAACTAGGTGAGTACATGATAATCTAGAAGTTAGTTAGGCCGCAGGAATCACTTTACAGGATCATAGACGATATTTAAACCTCTTATCTCTAAACCGTTTATTTTCGCAGCAGTTCGATGTCACCTTCAAACTAAATGCAACGGAGCGCCCTTAACATAATACAATGTTAAGGGCGCAACCTTAGTCTTATAATAACTAACTTGCTGCACCGCGATTCACCTCAATCTGTTATTTGAACTAACGAATAAATGAAACTGCAGTAGACCTATTGGCTCATTAGAGGCAACTCCTATTTATATCCACTTAAAGTCATTCGTAATATATGTCTAACTTGTGCTAATTCCACGTCTATTGTGTTACGCCATAGTTTGTTCCATATAAATCATCAACCCTATCGATTTCAACCCATCCTCTTTCACCCTGTCCATGGAGGACAGAAGAAAATGTATATATGCTGGTTAGCATTGTAAATGTGTGGCCACGTCTGTGGTAGAAAATAATAATAATAATAATAATAATAATAATAATAATAATAAAGTACTTCTTGTAACTGTGTGGTCGAAAATAGTAATGTGTAGTAATGGATCCCTAGTAAGCTACTTTTTGTACTCCTTTTTTATAGTCTGGAAAAAGTTAAGCTTAAAAAAAACAAAAACTTATATATTCTAAGGCCTAGAATATAGTTACTATATATGTGTGCTACTTAGGCCTAGTACATATAGTTACTATATTAAGCCTCAGCGTGTATTAGGCTTAGGATGGTTAGGTTAGGTTTGCAACATAAATATTTATATACATAAATATAAATTTCCCGTTTGCGCAAATTTAGTAATACAAATTGAAATGTTTATTGAAGTATAAATACACACAAAGGGATGAGATAGCTACCTCATTAGCTTGTCTAGCTCAAGCTCAAGCCGTTAGTAATACTAAAGTCTACTTTCTGGTGGTCCATCACGACATATTTTGAGCACATAGTACTCAGGATAAAGATATTAATTGTGACACTATTCCTCCACATATGTCAGTTGTTTAAATTAAAACTGTACTTGTGGTCGGTCTCGAGCCCATTGTTGATGTGCATTGAATTTTGTAACTAGCTCATCAAGATTGTAACTTGCTGAGCTAAATGAATTGTGGGGTTCAATCCCCTGAGCCCATTATGTGCTTCTGTAATCCTTTTTCATTTCCGCCCACAGGATTAGTATGGGGTGCATAATAAATGAACTAAACTAACTAGTACTTCTACTTTAAGCGGATTGGCTGGTTAATTCGTAAAGATACAAAACTAGGACGGGAAATTAATCTCAAAGACGACTCAAAATCATTTCAGGACGAGTTGGATAGGCTTTTAAAATGAACGAAATATTGACATGCAGTTTTAATGCTGAGAAATATAAGGGTTTGAGTTTAGGTAATAATAGTAGTTAAGAGATATCAGGTGGACAAGATTTACATTGTGAAATCAGAATGCGACAAAGATTTGGTATGATTATTAGAAAAAATTCTCGCAGCCAATTTGAGATATATATATAGGAAGTAAGATTCACGATAATATGTTCACGGGGAAATGTCAGCGTCCTCATTGATACCAATATGTCACAGAGGATGTATTTTTTCTCTCGTTTATTTAAAATACAGAAAAATACAATATGTACATTACAAAAAGCAAGGAAATATCCTCACCTACAGCTGAGAAAACCCCCCTAACACAACCACTGGGCTCTATCATATCTACATTTGAAACCGTGTATGGAGTCAGCCTCCACCACATCACTTCCTAGTGCATTCCATTTATTAACTACTCTGACACTGAAAAAATTCTTTCTAACGTCTCTGTGGCTCATCTGGGTACTAAGTTTCTACCTGTGTACCCTTGTTCGTGTCCCACCCGTGCTGAAGAGTTTGTCTTTGTCCACCCTGTCAATTCCCCTGAGAATTTTGTAGGTGGTTATCATGTCTCTCCTTACTCTTCTGTTTTCCAGGGATGTGAGGTTCAGCTCCTTTAGCCTTTCCTCGTAGCTCATATCTCTAAGTTCCGGGACGAGTCTGGATGTATATTAATGCAGAGAATTTACAATCCCAACTGGTATCTCGTCAACAGTCTACTGTACACAACTTGACACATCAACCGGTTTACAACTTGATTGAGATCGCGGTTATTTCTGATTGTGAAAAAACACTTTTGGTTGACGTGAAACATTTGGACATAAATTTTGACTTGACTAGTTTAATCTTATAAACTCTACAGGGGTCACAACAGTACAGGTACTGCAAGGTCTGTTGGTACATCTGGAGATGATTTCGGGGCTCAGCGTCCCCGCGGCTCGGTCCTCGACCAGGCCTCCTTTTCGTTACATATCCCCAGGAAGCAGCCCGTAGTAGCAGCTGTCTAACTCCCAGGTACCTGTTGACTGCTAGGTGAACAGGAGCATCAAGGGTGACAGAAACTGCCCATTTGTTTCCACCGGCGCCGGGATCGAACCCAGACCCAAGGATTACGAGTCCTAAGCGCTGTACACTCAGCCACAGGCCCCCACAGGTACATGCGAAGGTAACATTCTATATTTAGAATGAGTTTGGTGAATGTGTAGTTGGAAAATACAGAATAAACGGGTCTAATTGCAAGGGAATTATAGGTGCTGGCACTGTTTATATGAATAGAAGATATTGATGAGTTGTGAAAATAATATTACACGTTGCAGGTAATACTGATCATTGTTTTATTCACCATGAAGCAATGGTTTCTAAGAGTATTCCTGATAGTTTTAGTGCGGCTTTGACAGACATGATTAAAGTGGTTAATATCATTAAAGAAAGCTTACTGAACGCAAGATTGTTTGGACCCACAATCTCACTTGAGAATGGTCCAGGACGGGCCGAAACGTCGTCGTCCTTTCATTTTCTAGGGTGTGGATTGGTCAACATTGTTTGAAAGCTTGAGCTGCGAAGTAGGGGGACTAATCACACACACAGTCGGTGGCTACCACGGGATACAATCCTCAGAAAGATTGATGAGCTAACGATAGCAACTAATTTTCTTTTTCTTTAACAAAAATATGATTTGACAGATCTATAATTTGCATTTGGCAACTGGATAATGAAGCTATCATATTTAACATAATTTTTTTCCATGTTTAAATAAACTTAAAGTTGAAACTACAAGGGGAAAATATAAATGTTTTTCCAACATAGTGAAGACGAGAGAGAATATAAACAAATCATTACAAGGGTGGCCAACCAAGCCTCAAGCTGAACCCCTAAACTATTAAGTGTTCACAACACCCTAAACCAAAATAGCATCACTGAAGAACGTTTGAACAAAACTCAGGGAACAATACGGTTCCATCTCTCTCTGCTTTATCTGCATGTATTGCTCATTATTTTCACGG